CATATACACCATGGAATACTATGCAGCCATAAAAAAAGGATGAGTTTGTGTCCTTTGTAGGGACATGGATGCAGCTGGAAACCATCATTCTTAGCAAACTATCACAAGAACAGAAAACCAAACACCGCATGTTCTCACTCATAGGTGGGAACTGAACAATGAGATCACTTGGACTCGGGAAGGGGGACATCACACACCGGGGCCTATCATGGGGAGGGGGGAGGGGGGAGGGATTGCATTGGGAGTTATACCTGATGTAAATGATGAGTTGATGGGTGCTGACGAGTTGATGGGTGCAGCACGGCAACATGGCACAAGTATACATATGTAACAAACCTGCACGTTATGCACATGTACCCTAGAACTTAAAGTATAATAATAATAATAAATAAATAAATAAAGTATATAGGTCTGTAGCATTAAGTACATTCACATTGTTGTGCCATCCTTACCACTGTCTGTCTCCAGAACTTTTTCCATCTTCCCAAACTGCACTTGGTACCCACAAAACAATAACTCTCCAATGCCTTCCCCAGGGATCCCCCTTATCCTACTCCCCACCAGGCCCCGACCACCATTTTATTTGTGTCTCTATGAAGTTGATTACTCTAGGAACCTCGTATAAGTGGACTCATGTAGTATCTGTCCTCTTGTGACTGACTTATTTCACTTAGCCTAGTGTCTTATAGGTGCATCCCTGTTGTAACAGGTGTCAGTCAGAATTTCCTTTATTTTTAAAACGTGTAATTTAAAAATGCCCCAAAAAACAGATCTCTAGGCCCAGATAGTTTCACTAGAGAATTCTACCAAACATTGAAAGAAGAATTAACACTAATTCTACACAATTTATTCCAGAAAATAGAAGGGAGCAACATTTCTCAATTCATTTAATGAAATGTTTAGTATCCTGATGCCAAAACCAGAAAAAGACAGGACAAAAAATAAAAACTACAAACCAATATCCTTCATGAATACAGATACAAAAATCCTTAACAAAATATTAACAAGTGAAGAATTCAGAATATATAAAAAGAATTACATAGTATAACTAAGTAAGGTTTATCCCAGGATACAAGGCTGGATCAATATTCCCAAATCAATTAACATAATCCACCTTATTAACAGACTACAGAATAAAACAGTGTGATAAAATCAATTGATACTGAAAAAGCGTTTGACAAAATCCAATACCCATTCATGATAAAGAAAATTAGTAATAGAGTGTATTATAGGTCCATTTATGATAATGAAAATTATGATAAAAATAAAGAATAGAGGATATAGTGTGTCTCCTCTGAAATTCATGTTAAAGTCCTAACCCCCTGTACTTTAGAATGTGACTATTTAGAGCTAGGTTCTTTAAAGAGATAATTAAATTAAAATGGGGTCATTAGGGTAGGCCCTAATCCAATATAACTGGTGTCCTTTATCAGAAAAGGAGATTAGGACACACACAGAGACAGAAATCAGACACAGGCATGCACAGAGAAAAGACCAAATGACCACCTTCTCTCTGTGTTCTCTCTGTGGCCAATTGCATGCCAAAGAGAGGAGTGTCAGAAGAAACCAAACCTGCTGACACCCTAGTCTCAGACTTGTAGCCTCCAGAACTGTAAGAAAATAAGTTTGTTGGTTAAGCCACCCAATCTAATGGTATTTTATGGTAGCCCTATCAAACCAGTATAGAGGGCAAATTCCTCAACCTAATAAAGAACATCTATAAAAAACATATAGCTAACATTTAACTTAATGATGAAAGGTTAAATGCTTTTCCCCTAAAATTGGGAACAAGACAAGGAGATCTGCTGTCACCACTCTTACTTAACATAGTCTTGGAAGTTCTAGTCAGGGCAATAAGGCAAAAAGGAACTAAAAAGCACACACATCAAGAATGAGGATATACACTATTTCTATTTGCAGCAAATCTTAAAAACAAATCTACAGGGCCGGGCGCAGTAGCTCACGCCTGTAATCCCAACACTATGGGAGGCAAGGTGGGCAGATCATGAAGTCAGGAGTTTGAAACCAGCCTAGCCAACATAGTGAAACCCTGTCTCTAGTAAAAATACAGAAAAATTAGCTGGGCATGGTGGTGGGCACCTGTAATCCCAGCTACTCGGGAGGCAGAGGCAGGAGAATCAATCACTTGAACCCGAGAGGCGGAGGCTGCAGTGAGCCGAGATCGTGCCATTGCGCTCCAGCCTGGGAGAGTGCAAGACTCCGTCTCAAAAAAAACCAAAAAACAAAACAAAACAAAGCAATCTACAAAAAAACTATCCTAGAACTGACTTCAACAAGGTGGCAGAATAAAAGATAATCAATTGTGTATCTATATAATAGCAATGAACATGTGGACACTAAAATTTAAAAATACAATATCACAACTGCTTAAAAAATTGAAAACTACAAAATGCGGATGAAAGAAATTAAAGATCTAAATAAATCAAGAGACTCAACATAGTAAAGATGTCAACTCTGCAAATTGATATGCATATTTAATGTAATTCCCATAATTCCTAAAATCTCAACAAGATTTTAAATTTAGACAATATTATTCTAAACTTTATATAGAAAGGCAAAGGAACCTAAATAGCTAGAGCAATTTTGAAAAAGAAGAATGAAGTGGCAGGAATCAGTCTGTATGATTTGAAGACTTATACAGCCACAGTAATGAAGACTGTGTGGTATTGTTGGAGGGGGAGACACATCAATCAATGGAACATAACCGAGATCCCTAAAATAAGCATACACAAATCTACCCAAGTAATTTTTGACAAAACTGCAAAAGCAATTCAATGGAGAAAGGACAGTCTTTTCAACTAATGGGTCTTTGAACAGTTGGACATCCACATGTAAAAAATAGAACCTCGCCCTATGCCTCAGATCTTATACAAAATGAACTGAAAATAAACCACAGACTTAAATGTAAAATGTAAAACTATACAATCTTTTGGAAAAAAAACATAGGAACAAATCTTTGGCATCTATAGGTGGGTACAGAGTTCTTAGACTTGACACCAAAAACACAATCCATAAAACTGATAAATTTGACCTCACTGAAATTAAGAATGTTTGGTCATTGAAAGAGAGGATGAAAAGTTATAGATTGGGAGAAAGAATTCACAAATCACGTATTTAATAAAGAATTAGAACCTCACGGCCGGGCACGGTGGCTCAAGCCTGTAATCCCAGCACTTTGGGAGGCCGAGACGGGCGGATCACGAGGTCAGGAGATCGAGACCATCCTGGCTAACACGGTGAAACCCCGTCTCTACTAAAAATACAAAAAACTAGCCGGGCGAGGTGGCGGGCGCCTGTAGTCCCAGCTACTCGGGAGGCTGAGGCAGGAGAATGGCGTAAACCTGGGAGGCAGAGCTTGTAGTGAGCTGAGATCCGGCCACTGCACTCCAGCCTGGGTGACAGAGCGAGACTCTGTCTCAAAAAAAAAAAGAATTAGAACCTCACAACTCAACTGTAAAAACAATAGAAAGTGTCCTTATTATCTCTTATAAAAAAAGAAACTAGGCAAAGACATGAGCAGAAATTTTACCAGGGAGAATACATATACATATGGCAAATAAGCACATGGAAGTTACGTTCAATGTGATTAGCCATTAGGGAAATGCAAATTTTTAAAAACTTCATTAAAAATAGTGACACTACCAAATTCTGGTGAGGATGCAGAGAAACTGGATTACACATATATTGGTGGTGGGAATGTAAAAATGGTGGAGCTACTCTGGAAAACAATTCAGCAGTTTTGAGAAAAACTAAACATAAATTACTATAAAACCTAGCAATTTCACTGTGGGCATTTATTCCAGAAATTTATTCCAGAAGCGAAAACTTGTGTTCACATAAAAACCTGCATTACAATTGTTCATAGCAGCTTTATTCATGATTGCCCAAAACTGGAAACAATCCAGATGTTACTCAACAGGTGAATGGTTAAACTGTGGTACATCTATGCCATGGAATACTACTCAGCAGTAGAAAGGAATGAATTATTGACACACTCAACAACTTGGATTAATCGCCAGATAATTATGCTGAGTTCAAAAAGCCAATCTCAAAGGTTATATATATGATTCCATTTATATAACATTCTTGAAATGACAAAAACAGAAATGCAGAACAGATTAAGTGATCACCAGGGGTTAAGGATAGGGAGTAAGGAGTGAGGTGGGGCAGGAGGGAAGTAGGTGTGGTTATAAAAGGGCAACACAGGCATCCTTCTGATGATGGAAATGTTTTGTATCTTGATTGTATTCATATCAAGCCTTGGTTTTGATATCATACTATAGTTTTGTAAGATGCTACAAATGGAGGAGAGTGGTAAAGGATACTGGGATCTATTTTTTTTTTTTTTTTTTTTTTACAAATGTATGCATTTCTACAGTTATCTGGAAACTAAAAGTTTAATAAAAAAGGAAAAAAAAGAACAAACCCACAAATCATACTACTTATTTATTGAACACCTGTTGTGCGGCCACGCCCTATTTAAGGTAATCTCACGAATGTTATTTCTTATTTAATTTTCATGAATGCCTAAAGATTATACCCATTTCCCAAATAATCTTTCATGAAATACTAATTCTTTGTGACATTAATAGCCTTCCTTGGAGGTACTATGTAAAAGGAAATCTCTAGTCAAGTAGGTTTAAGAAAGACAAAAACAATTTTGTTTTAACTGTAGGATTTTTAAGGTATCTAATATCTAATGAACTTTATAAATATTCAAAACAAGGCCATCATAGACAGCTCCCTTTAATTTTCCCATGTCTTTAATTTTGGAACCCTAGTTTTCACATGATGCCCATGAACAACTTGTCTGAAGACCCAGTATTCCCTATAATATAACAATAAGTGTTGGGTTATAGTTTTCTTCCAGCATCTCTACTGAAGTGAGCTTTTGTGTGTTATTTCAATTTAGGCTATAGATTTACTGTCATAGGTCTGAGTATACTTCAATCATAGTACAGATGATCCAAACTACTTACCATGTAACAATATAAATAGATCGAAGTACTAATGTAAAGACCAACATTCCATACATGACCTAAATAGGAATGGAAAATGAGGTTAGTATAATAATTATTCTTTGGCAAAGGAAGTCTATTTTGCCTACCAAAATAGCCTTCCCAATTAAATGTAAATATTTATTATCCTTCATTACATTTTAGAGAATAGAATTTTTAAAAATGTGTTAAATCACTAAGTCATGCTAACTTCTGAGGAAAAGTTAAGAGCCTGCTTAACTTTATTAAATAACCAATATCAGAATTCCTATATCAATTTTAATTCTGAATGGATCTTTGAAATTTTAAATATCTGCTGAAACCTGAACAAGTGTTATAATTTTGCCTCATACTCTTTAGCTCCTCTCTTCTCTTTAGCTTTGCTTTCAGCAAATACAGTAATTGTGCTTCCCATTTTACAATATTATAAACCTGAATTCTTTTAACTCTTCTAAATGCCTCTGCATTCATGTGCATCCTCCCCTGGCATTCTTTCTCATCCCTAGTCTCCAAAAAAGGTGCCCACTTCTTGACTAAGGTTAATCCATTTTCCTGTGTTCTTTATTCTATATGTTCCCATATCTTCCTAGCGTTGGCTCTTCTTTCTTTTCTGTATTGAGCATTAGATGAGTATTAGTACCTGGAAAATTGAACCTAGTGGGAAAATATGATTTAGCAAATACATATAAAGCCAATAGTTGAGAAAGCACCACCCAGGTCAAGAAGTAAATCCTTGTTAACCCCCCAGAAGTGCTGCATTTGTGTCTTCCCAGTCCAACCCTCTCCCTTCCTTTTTAGAGGAAACCCCTCTCCTGACTTGTATAATAAACATTGTTTTGCTTTTCTTTATATAATTACTAACTTAAAGTAGTCATCTACAAATGCATTCCTAAGTAATTAATAATACTGTTTGCTTTTGAGTTATAATAGAATTTTGATTAAGTTTTATTTTATTACTCTTATTTCTTTTGAGGCAGGGTCTTTTGTCATCTAGGCTGGAGTGTAATGGCATGATCATAGCTCATTGCAGCCTTGATCTCCCAGGCTCAAGCCATCCTCTTGCCTCAGCCTCCCAAGTAGCTGGGTGGGACTAGAGGTGTGCGTAACCATATCCTGGTTAATTTTTTTCTTTTTAGTATAGACGAGGTCTCACTATGTTGCCTAGGCTGGTCTCAATCTTATGTGGATAAGGGTAGAAAAGAAGCTGTGTATATGAATAGCTCTGGGTCTTCTGATGAGATGAAGATGCTACATCTGCTATAACTCTCACCCTGTATCCTTGTATAAAGCTGAGTAAATATAGTATTACATTAAAGCTTATTAGAGTCTCATTGCCAGCTTAAATCCATAACTGCAGCTCAAATGGTGAATAAGACAGGCGTAATCCCTATACTCACAGCAATTACAATCTAGTAAAGGGAGAGATAAGTAACCAGGCAATTGTAATACAGTATTATAACTCTATGGCAGGAACTGTACAGAGTACTTTGTAAACACATAGGAAGGCCACCTAATCCAAACTTATACAGTAGAAAGTCTTTCTAGAGGATATGGTGTTTAAAATTTTATACCTGAAGCTCATGTAGCAGTTACCTTAAAAGAAAGTGGAAGAGAGTTATTGTCATATCTTATATTCCAGAGACAAGGAGGAAAAAAAGATCCTTATAGTATATTGTTGTAATATAGAATAGGAAAAATGGAGTCAGAGACCAGAGGTCAAATCTGGCCTTTCAAGTCATGTTAAGGAGCTGGACTTTATATAACAGTAACAGAGGCTGGGTGTGGTGGCTCACACCTGTAATCCCAGCACTTTAGGAGGCTGAGGCAGGTGGATCACTTGAGGTCAGGAGTTCGAGACCAGCCTGGCCAACATGGTGAAACCCCATCTCTACTAAAAATGCAAAAATTAGCCAGGTGTGGTGGCAGATGCTTGTAATCCCAGCTACTTGGGAGGCTGAGGCACAAGAATTGCTTGAACCCAGGAGGCGGAGGTTGCAGTGAGCTAAGATTGCACCACTGTACTCCAGCCTGAGTGACAGAGCAAGACTCTGTCTCAGGGAAAAAAAAAAAAAAAGGCTGGGTGGGGTGGCTCACACCTGTAATCCCAGCACTTTGGGAGGCCGAGGTGGGTGGATTACCTGAGGTTAGGAGTTCCAGACCAGCCTGGCCAACATGGTGAAACCCCATCTTTACTAAAAAATACAAAAAATTAGCTGAGCGTGGTGGTGGGTGCCAGTAATCCCAGTTACTTGGGAGGCTGAGGCAGGAGAATTGCTTGAACCCGAGAGGCGGAGGTTGCAGTGAGCCAAGATGGTGCTATTGCACTCCAGCCTGGGCAACAAGAGCAAGACTCCATCTCAAAACAAAACAAAACAAAACAAACAAACAAACAAAAAGGAAAAATAATGGAAAGTCAATGAAGGTTTCACCAATAGATAACATGGTCAGACTCATGTATTAGAAAGATGTCCCTGTTGTGCTGAGTGGAGAATGAGAGGGAGGTGAGACTGACAGGAAACAGACCAATGATAACGTGTTGCAGTAATCTAAGTGAGAGATGGAGACCTGAACTAGGGTAATATAGGGGAGATGCAGAGAAGTGAACAGATTAGAGATTTAGGGTTCAGACTAATCATTAATTTGAATGGAAGTTAGAGAGGGGGAAAGACAAGGATGATGGCCTGGTTTATGGCATGGACAGTTAGATGCATGGCAAAATTAATTATTGGATTAGAGAATATATGAAGAGAAGAAAGACTAGGGAGAAAAATGGTGAGTTCACTTCTGCACATACGTTCAGAGTTTGATGTGCCAGTGAGATAGCTAAGTAGAGACATCTAGCAGAAGTTGGATACCTAGGTCTATAGTTTAGAAGAAAAATCAGAGCTGAAGAAATAGAACTGTCAGCATATAGGAGTCAATGGGAATGAATTTCCCAGAGATTTGTTGAGCATACGAAATGATGGATTAGGAAAGAACCTATGCCTTGGCAACATCATGGGACTTTTTCAAATTAACTTTCTTCTCTCCAGAGCACACTTACCCCATATTTTTGATGCTCCCCATTGCTAGTGGCCTACCCAGTATTCATTCCCTCCTTCCAACTATATAGAAACTGATTTTATCTGGCTGGCAGCATGCAAGTTTGATTTCTCAACTTATAGAGGTTTTTTTTTTTTTTTTTTTTTTAAGTAAAAAAGATGATAGAATATAGACTTTTCTGGTCCTTTTTATAATTTTTATCTAACAATACATATATATATATATATATATATATTTTTTTTTTTTTTTGAGACGGAGTCTTTGCTTTGTCGCCCAGGCTGGAGTGCAGTGGCGCGAACTCGGCTCACTACAAGCTCCGCCTCCTGGGTTTACGCCATTCTCCTGCCTCAGCCTCCCGAGTAGCTGGGACTACAGGCGCCCGCCACCTCGCCCGGCTAGTTTTTTGTACTTTTAGTAGAGACGGGGTTTCACCGTGTTAGCCAGGATGGTCTCGATCTCCTGACCTTGTGATCCGCCCGTCTCGGCCTCCCAAAGTGCTGGGATTACAGGCGTGAGCCACCGTGCCCGGCCAATATGTATATTTTTATAGTGAAATTTTATCTATATTTAATAGTTGTTTTCAGTCTCCGGACTCCAAAGGCTATAAAAGTATTATTAGTATTTTCTCTCTACTAAAGCAACTAATAAAAGTTAAATCAGGATAACACAGAGAAGGATGGGCTATAATTTTAGATAGAGTTGTTAGATAAGGCCTCTCTGCTAAGTTAACATTTAAGCAGAGACCTGAATGAGTGAGGATATAAACCATGTAGATAGCTGGGGTACTAGTATCCTAGGCAGTGGTAATAGTGAGTGCCAAAGTCCTAAAGTGAAAACATGCTTATTGTGTTTGAAATATAAAGCAAGACTCACTGTGACTGGAGAGAGTGAAGGAGGGGCAAGTGGAAGGACATCACCCTATCCTAACATGGTTTTTCTTTTTTATAGCAGTTATCACCTTCTAGCAAGTATGTATACTATATAAATTTACTTGTTATATCTATAGTGTATTGTTTCATATCATCCTATAGCACTGTTTTTTTTGTTTGTTTGTTTGTTTTTTAAATCCTTTCTCAATGGACTAGAGCAACAGAAATCAAACTTGTCTCTTTCCTTGGCCTTTTACTTCCTTCCTCCAGACCCTAGGTAGCCTTTCAATGATGAAAGGCTTTCTATAATGAGAATCTCATCTGGTCATACTGCAGCTTAAAACCCTTTAATGGCTCCTGACTGCTTATAATTTTAAGCATAGTATAAAGGGCTCCTCATGACCTAACCCCTCATCAGTAATCCAAACCCATCTCCTACAGCTAGGGCCAGCCACACCAAATATTTATAGTATACCAATGCTTTTAAAACTTTTCTACAAAATACTCCCAGTAGCAAAGGAAGAATGACTTATTCCTGATGGACAGAGATGGGAGAGGCACACTGAAAACACAAACTTCTTTGAAGTTTCTTATTTCATCCTAAAAATTCATGTGGTCATTGTACTCAATTCTATAACATATTTATATTTGTTTTAACTTTAAAAAGTTTAATCCCAGCTGAGCACGATGGCACATGCCTGTAATCCCAGCACTTTGGGTTGCCAAGGCGGGCGGATCACATGAGGTCAGAAGTTTGATACCAGCCTGGCCAACATGAAAAAACCCTGTCTCTACTGAAAATACAAAAATTAGGTCAGGAGTGGTGGCTCACGCCTTTAATCCCAGCACTTTGGGAGGCCGAGGTGGGCAGATCACTTTAGGTCAGGAGTTCAAGACCAGCCTGGCCAACATGGCGATACCCCGTTTCTACTAAAAATACAAAAATTAGCCAGGCGTGATGGTGCACAACTGTAGTCCCAGCTACCTGGGAGGCTGAGGCATGAGAATAACGAACCCGGGAGATGGAGGTTCCAGTGAGCCGAGATTGCGCCACTGCACTCCAGCCTGGGTGACAGAGTGAGACTCCGTATCAAAAAACAAAAACAAAAAAAGTTTAATCCCTGCAATATAGTTGAATAAAATAAATCGTATAGGAAAATAGGAATGTTGAGATGCAGTCAGTGATTTTGTAAACACCTCAACACGCTACCACAAATCCCTGGGTGAACTTGTACTCCTGTTTCATGTGCAAGAGTTACCAATTCACACTTCTGTACCTTAACACAGGGGTCCCCATCCCCCAGACTGGTACCCGTCTGCAGCCTTTTAGGAACTGGACTGCACAGCAGGAGGTGAGCTGCAGGCAAGTGAGCATTATCGCCTGAGCTCCGCCTGTTATCAAATCAGCAATGGCATTAGATTCTCATAGGAACACAAACACTATTGTGAACTGCACACACAAGGGATCTAGGTCGTGTGCTCCTTATAAGAATCTAATGTCTGATGATATGAGGTAGAATCCCAAAACCATTCCCTGGCTGTCTGTGGAAAAACTGTCTTCCACAAAATCGGTCTCTGGTGCTAAAAAGGTTGGGGACTGCTGCCTTAACACATGCTTCTCTATAGATGGAATAGCCTTTCTCTACTTCTCTACCTGTGACATCTTGTTCATCTTCAAGACTCTCCTGAAGCCCCTCTAGGAGTCATCTAAGTAGACAGAGCATACCCTTGTCTATATTACCACTGCTTTTACATATTTATCACAAGACTTATATACTGCAATTATTTTTTACAAGTCTATATTACTGATTAGATAATGATCTTCTTGAGATTAGTGGCCATATCTTATTTGCCTATGTATACTAATGTTAGTTAACATTTATTGTTTACTATGTGACAAGGGTTTTATATGCATTATTTCATTCAATCCTCAAACTTAGGAGGTTATTATAGAGACAGTGAAGTTCCATGAGGGCAGGGCTTGTTATTTTATTCACTAGTGTATGTATCTCTTGTGCCTAGTACGGTGCCTGGAATATTGAAGGCACTTAAAAAGGGTTTGTTCAGGCTGGGCACGGTGGCTCACACCTGTAACCCTGCCTGAGCTTCACCAAGGCGGGAGCTGAGGCGAGCAGATTGCTTGAGCTCAGGAGTTTTGAGACCTGCCGGGCAACATGGTAAAACCCATCTCTACAAAAGATGCAAAACAGCCTGTTGTAGTGGTGTGTGCCTGTAATCCCCGCTACTTGGGAGGCTGAGGCGGGAGGACTGCGTGAGCCCAGGAGGTCAAGGCTGTAGTGAGCTGTGATGGAGCCACTGCACTCCAGCCTGAGTGACAGGGCGAGGCTCTATTTCAAAAAAAAAGGTGGGGCGATTGTTGAACAATGAGGAAACCAAAGCTCAGAGAGGTTAACTAACTTGTCCAGGGTGTACAGTTAGTAAGTGGAGGAGACTAGATTTTAAATCCAGGTCTGCTTGACTGTATGTAGATCATAAAGTCTTTGCTTTGCTGCCTGTCTGCAAATTCCAGCTCAGAATTTGGTACAGAGAAGGCAGATAGTAGACATTTGTTGAATGAATGAATGTCTTTTACCTTTAGATTACTTATTTGCTTCACCCTAGCATTTCCTTATTTCTTCATTTCTCTATCCTGATTTTTAATCTCTAGGCCTACGACACAAGCCACAGTGGGTATGGATAGACCTAGCTTTCATCCTGCTTCTCTTCTTATCAGTAAATATTACTGCTATACATAGAGAAGAAAATCTTTATTAGTGGAAAAACACATGGATATTGCACTAGGGGTAGTTACTTATTAAGAGTTGTTTTTTATTACATAGTGTCAAATAGTTCTAAAACACAAAATGAAAAATAGATGGTCATAAAACTTGTAAAAATTAACCCAGAATTTCCAAATTTTATATTTTTGTGGTCATTATTTTTCTTTCTTAGTAAAGGCGAACAAGAAGTTCATAAAAACTAAGGTATTTATACAGATTAACTTCATTTATTTATTATTATTTTAAAAGAGATGTTGCCTGGGCTGGAGTGCAGTGGCACAATCATAGTTCACTGCAGGTTTAAACTCCTGGGCTCAAGGGATCCTCCTGCCTCAGCTTCCCGAGTAACTAGGAATACAGGCATGTCCCACCATGCCTGATTAATTTTTATTTATTTATTTATTTATTTTTTGCTATGTTGCCCAGGTTAGTCTCTAACTTCTGGCTTCAAGCAATCCTCCCACCTCAGCCTCCCAAAGGACTGAGATTATAGGCATAAGCTACTGTGTCTGGCCAACTTTGTTTTTTATACTGTTAATAAAACTTTCTAAATAAAAGAGTAATTACATAATGGCATAATTTCAAGTTACAGTAAACAAGAAAGTGAGGATGTCTTTTTTTTTTGAGACAGAGTCTCATTCTGTTACCCAGGTTGGAGTGCAGTGGTATGATCTCGTCTCACTGCAACCTCTGCCTCCTGGGTTCAAGTAATTCTCCTGCCTCAGCCTCCCAAGTAGTTGGGATTACAGGTGCACACCACCATGCCTGGCTAATTTTTGTATTTTTAGTAGAGATGGGGTTTCACCATGTTGGCCCAGCTGGTTTTGAACTCCTGACCTCAACTGATCCACCCACCTCGGCCTCCCAAAGTGCTGGGATTACAGGTGTGAGCCACCACGCCCGGCCGTGAGGATGTCTTTTCTGTAGCATTTATTTTAGTTCATCCACCTGCAACTGACCTGGAGAAAAGCAAGGCATAATAATGTGGTTATAGAATATACTTCAAAAGCTAGGTTCCAGTTAGATGATTATTGTATAGCTTGAATTGTAAAAGTTACAAGAACATTAGTAAATGTTTATATAAGCACAAAATATTTTAAAACTGTGGCACTTCTGAAAAGCGTGTTTATTTATTCATTTTTGTTTGCTAGTTTGTTAAAAGAATGTTGAAAAGGAGTCAGACAAATCTAGGTTATAATCCTGGTTCTCCCCCTTAATAACTGTGTCACCTTAGGGCAATTATTTAATATTTCTGAGCTCATTTTCCTTGAAATGTATATAATAATTCCCAATTAGTTGGACTGTTGGTGAGATTAGAAGTCTGTGTAGTAGTGAGCATAGTACCAGGCACGTGGCAGCACTCAAAGGCCTGCTTCTTTATTTCACTCTGGTTTCATAATGGCATGCACTTAAATCACCATTTCCTACACTAAAGTTTCCTGTGTTCGCTTCCTTCAATGTACATCACCTCCCATGTCAAAAATGCATTAAAATATATTAGGGGGAAAATGTTCAAGGAATTTTCAGTCTGTCTTTTCTAGATGTCATAAAAAGACTTTATGTGTATGTGCATAATGCTTCCTGGTTCTTTCTGCTTATAATAGCAATGTTGCACCTGTATTACTGAATACCAACAGCCAGCTGGACCTGCACATTGGCTATCCCAGGTATATTCCTGTTACCTACACTAAGCTCCTGTAAGCATTTGAGTTTGCAACCTCTCTTAAACACTGAACTTCCTTAGAACATCTACCATTTCATTAAAAAATTTTTTTATCTGCATATCATTTCTTAGACAAGGAAATCACAAGCAGCCATGTATCGTTAAACAATCTAATGTGTAATAATTTACAAAAAATTACCTGATGGAATATCGGCTCTTTTACCTTAAGGTAAACCTGCAAAATATTAGAAAAAACACGTGAATGAAGTACATTATGAAGGGAAGAAAAACCAATTCCAACTACTCTGCAAATCCCAAACCTCTTCTGCTTCCCCCATCTTACTCAGACTTGAATCCAGCCTGTAAAAGCAATCAGATCAAGTGGCATGCCACAAGAAGGCTGGGAGCTACAGGAGGATTTCCTTAGTGCTAGCCCTGTTATGGTGAGCAGAATGTTTTAGATCTGTTGTGGACCACTGCAAACTCTGCATCAGTATCAAGGAGGGATAAGGATACATGGATACTCATGAGGAGTGAAGAAGTTATGTTGACAATCCCCGTAGCAGATCTGTTCTACAACAGAGAGAACACCGGACGTAGAGATAGGAGTAAATTTCAACCTTTGCCACTTACTTGCTACAGGCCTTGGACAAGTTAACTAAAAGACGCATCCTTCCTCATCTGGATAATGAACAATAATAGTGGTGAGGAATGATAAGCTAAAATACCTGAAAGTGTCTAGCATACAGTAGGGGCTCAGTAAGTGAAGACATTTAAAACAAATTTCTTGTGCTTTCTTATGCTTCCAGAAATCTCTAACTCACCTTTCTAGATGCATTCGCAGTTACACAAACCCTAGTTGTAGGTTCCAATGTCATGTGGATGATTAAGCTCAATGCCTAGTTAAGATTTAACATGTATGTATTGCCCTACAGGAGCACAATTTTTAAATGATATGGTACAGGGGAATCAAAATTCAAGTCATAACCCTGCCATGACTCTCATCACTTGCAAGATACAGTTCAAATTTCTTAGCCTTTCTGTTTGGTCTCACTATTGTCTTCTTGTCTCCTCCTCATCCAAGTCTCCAGAAAGTACTGTGCTTCCTACGATGTGCTAGTTTCACACTTCTGTATTTTTAAACATGCTGCTCTTTACTTTGTTCAGAAATCCTCCTCTACTCATTAATCATCTTTTAGGATTCAACTCAAACTATACCTCCTTCTTGAAGCCTTTTCTGATCCTTTCTCTACACAGCAGAAGCAACCAGTCACCCTCCTTTCTACCATTACTCTTCATGTATAAACTTTGTGGCATTTAATAGTTTGTTTTTTCTCCCTACAAGACTATGATATTTCTGATACTAAGTACTGGATTTAGATATTTCTATATCCTCATTTAATGTAGCAATCCCATAAAATTTTATATAATTTTATTATTTGGCTACAAAATTTCTACCCTCAGTACAAAAAAAAAAAAAAGAAAAAAAAATCCCAGATTATTTCCTTTAAGCATTGTGAGTTTTAAAAGTATGATGTGTATAAGATATTATATATCTGTAACTCTAAACCCAGTAAGGGAGAATGCTTTTAATCTCTGAAATTTCTTATTTCAGAATACTAATTTCCATTTATATAGGTAATGCTATCAGATTCCCATTGTGACTAATAAAAGAAATGCAAAAGGACATGCCTCATGCCTCTTAAAGACATTTTTTGTTTGTTTGCTTTGAGATGGAGTCTCACTCTGTCGCCCAGGCTGGAGTGCAGTGGCACAATCTCGGCTCACTGCAACCTCGGCCTCCCGGGTTCACGCCATTCTCCTGCCTCAGCCTTCCCAGCAGTTAGGACTACAGGCGCCCGCCACCACGTGTGGCTATTTTTTTTGTATTTTTAGTAGAGACAGGGTTTCACCGTGTTAGCCAGGATGGTCTCGATCTCCTGACCTCGTGATCCACCCGCCTCAGCCTCCCAAAGTGCTGGGATTACAGGTGTGAGTCACCGTGCCCGGCCTTAAAGACATTTTTTAAAGCAAATAATTATGGAGCCCTTCCTATGTGTTAGGTATTGATTTTCACAACTAACATAAAATATATACTATTTTCTTCATTTAACAGATAAAGGGAACTAAGGCTGAGAGAGATTAAGTAATTTGCAAGGTCCCAAAGTTTTTAAGTAACCTGGATCCAAACTTAAATCTGACTTCAAAGTCTGTCTCTCTCACCAATTCTCTATATAAACTTGATTGGCCAGGCAAGTCACTGACAATCTCTAGACTTGATTCTCTTCTTTCATATCATAACAAGACTTCATTTCACCTCTGAAATTCTACAATTCTTTCATGATTAACCAATATGTAGTTGATATGGTTTGGCTGTATGCCCACCGAAAATCTCATCTTGAATTGTAATTTGAATTGTAATCCCTGCGTGTTGGGGAAGGGACTTTGTGGGAGGTGAACAGATCATGGGGGTGGTTCTCCCATGCCCTATGCTGTTCTCATCATAATGAGTGAGTTCTCATGAGATCTGATGATTTTATAAGGAGCTTCTTCCCCCTTCACTCTGCACTTCTTTCTCCTGCCACCATACGAAGAAGGATGTGTTTGCTTCACCTTCCACGATGATTGTTAAGTTTCCGGAGGTCTCCCCAGCCATGCGGAACTGTGAGTCAATTAAACTTCTTTCCTTTATAAATTATCCAGTCTTGGGTATTTCTTTATAGCAGCATGAGAATGGACTAATACAGTAGTTTAGGCAAAGTAATGTGGAAAGGAGTAAATAGTGCATATGTGCCCTTTCAGCCTCCTATTCAACATCTCAGCTAACTGAAATCTAGCTTCTGCCTCCATCAATTTACTACTGACAGCATCCTCATTAAGGTTACCTGGTCTTCCAACTGAAAATTTCTATTAGCTCTCAATCTTCATTGTACTCATCCTTTCAGAGGCAACTGTTCTTCCATTTTTCGCTTCTAGAAATCTTTGTACTCCATGACATCAGGCTCTCTTAGCTTTCTTACATCCCTGATTGCTTGTTCTCAGTCTCTTTTGCTAGCTCTATTTCTTCCACCTAGTCCTCAAATGTAAGTATTTCATTAGGTTGTACTTCTAGTCTTTGTCTGTTTTGAGACAGGGTCTCACTCTGTCATCCAGGCCAGAGTGCAGTGGCACAATCATGGCTCACTGAAGCCTTGACCTCCTGGGCTGAAGTGATCCTCTCACCTCAGCTTCCTGAGTAGCTGGGACTACAGGTGCATGCCATCATATCCAGCTAATTAAAAAAAAATGTTTTGTAGAGACAGAGTCTCACTATGTTGCCCAGCTGGTCTTGAACTCCTGGGCTCAAGCAGTCCTCCTATCATGGCCTCCCAAAGTGCTGGGATTACAGGTGTGAGCCACTGTGCCTGGCCCCTTTGTCATCTTAATGGCCCATGCTACTTTTTCAGGTCATCTATTCTCACATTTTTGTACTAACTATACCCTGACAATTCTCAAATCTACATCTTTAGTCCAGCCTAACTGTTAAGCCTCAGATGTCAGTAATGTCAGGCACCTCAATCTTAACACATTTCATATTGAATTTATCTCTACCCCTACCCCATGGTGCAAACCTACTCATTATCTATCCTGTAAAAGCTGTTCATCCTCCAAGTTTCCTGTTTTGATTAAAGACATACTATCTATCCTGACAACCAGGCCAGGAGTCATTCTAGACAACTCATTTTTACTCTACTTTCACCCCCTCTACTATGACGTGGGTCACATATCCTGCAGTTTGTTATTTATGACCGTTTCTTTTCAACCTCACAGCTATATTACTTTCACCTAAGTCTCATATCTTACTAAAGCAAATACAAAAGTCCCTGGGTCTAGCCTCATACTCCTGTAATCCAGCCTCCATAACCACAGCAATCTTTCTAAAACACATATCTGATTACATCTTCCCTTTAAACCAGTAATTGGCTCCACACTACCTTTTTCTTTTCTTTTCTTTTCGAGACAGAGTCTCACTCTGTCACTAGGCTGGAGTGGAGTGGCACGATCTCAGCTCACAGCAGCCTCTGCCTCCTGGGTTCAAGCAATTCTCCCACCTCAGCCTCCTGAGTAGGTGGGATTACAGGGGCATGCCACCATGCCCGGCTAATTTTTCCATTTTTAGTAGAGACAGGGTTTCACCATATTGGCCAGGCTGGTCATGAACTCCTGACCTCAAGGTGATCCACCAGCCTCGGCCTCCCAAAGTGCTGGGATTACAGGAGTGAGTCACCATGCCTAACTGCTCCACACTACTTCGAGGATAAAAATTTGAACTCTTAAACAAAGCATACAAGGGTATTTATAATCTGATGTCTGTCTAATTCACTAGACTCATTCACTGCTCTTCAATTACCATATGTGCCAGCCATATTAAATCTTGCCCAATTCTACCAGTGGTGTTGATTTAATGAGACAATAAAGATAAAGTACATGGTTACAATATCTGGCATAAAGTAAGTGATTGAAAATGGTAGTTCACTATGTTGTTTCAAAGTTCTCTGCCTATGAACAAACAATACTGCTATCTACAAATGCTTCACCACACTCTTGCCCAGGGGCCTGATGAGCTCCTAATCATCAGCTAAATTCTAGTTCAGGTGCCTCCTCTTGAAAGCTTTCCTTGACCCATGCATGAAGCCTTGATTGAACCTCCTTTATCTCATCACCATAGAAGTAGTTTTTACCCCTATTATTACAGTTATTATCTTTTGATGAATTCTTTGTGTACATGCCTAAAATCTCTAATAGAATGAGCTCCTCACAGATAGCAACTGCTTTTTTTTTATCATTTCTATATTTCTAGTGCCTGACATGGTAAGTTTTCAATAAATGTTTTTTGAAATGAATATTTTCATAATATAAAATGCAATTTACTTGAGGAAAAAAAGCATTAATGTAGGATTAGAAGTGACTAGCTATCTCAACTTACTAGGGAAAAGTTAACCATTAAAACAGTCACATTAGGACCAATGGAGCAGAGCCAATCTCTTATTTTTAACAAATAGGAGCTAATATGTCCATCTATGAGAAAAATTAATTTTTCCCTATTGCTACTAATATTTGCTTTTTTCTTTTCCCCATTAAAAACTAAACAGAGTTTTAAAAGTATTTCAATTACAGTGAGAAGTAACATTTAAACAGGGAACAAGGGAGCAATATTTGTCAGTGTGATATTCTCGTTTTGTGTAGCAAGATTGCAGTTTGACAGCATGAAGCAAATACTGGAAGTAAAATATGCCAAACTCTATAAATGGTGAATTTACATGCTTAATCTGTTAGAAACAAAATATGACTTACTGTGGTTACTATTAAACTGAATAGAACTAAGGTAAAAAGCAGATGGTAGTTTACTGAGTTCTTGATCTTGAAACATTCAAACCTTGAAAAAAAGAGAAAGAAACTTTTAAAAGAAGATATAAGTAGGAACATAAATAGAATGCTGCTTTACCACTTGCCTGTATCTCTCAATGATCGAGTGATACCCATCATTTCTTTCCACTCGTAGTCTTAGAAAACCTGCACTGCCTATTATCCTCTAAGAGGCTGGAAGGAGTAGGACTAGACATATGACTTAAGCTGGGACAATGAAAGGCTCTTGCCTGAAAGTCTGGAGTTTGGGAGGGAGAGACTGAATCAATTCAGTATAGAGAGTCAGCTGGGCACGGTGACCCACGCCTGTAATCCTAGTACTTCCGTAGGCCAATGCAGGAGGATCACTTGAGCGCAAGAGTTTGAGACCAGCCTGGGCAACAAATTGAGACCCTGTCTCTACAAAAACTAAAATAATTAATGGGCATGGTGGTGCATGCCTGTAGTCCCAGCTACTTGGGAGGCTAAGGTGGGAGGAGAGCTTGAGTCTGGGAGATAGAGGGTCTGGATGACAGAGCAAGACCCTGTCTCAAAAAAAAAAAAAAAAAAGTATAGAGAGTCAAAGTCATATGGACTCAAGGTCTGAGGCTGATATTTGGGGGCAGCCAAATTGAATGAAGAAGTAGATGAATGAGCAGAAGTAATCTGCAGGGAGAGAAAAATATAGCAGATACAAAGAGGTGAAGCCATGTGGAGAGGAAGGAATGGCAAAAAGAAGGAAGGGGGAAGAACCTGCCCTTCCAGTTCTAGTAAGGTGGGGCTGTACTTCCTGCTATTGGGTCCCATATAATTTCCTCATATCCTTACAATAAATAAATAATCTCTCCTAATTCAAGCTAGCTTGAATAGGTTTCTATATCTTGCAACTAATGATTCCTAAGGAACATTATTGGAGAAAATACCAGTCTATTATAATTGTCTCTTTCCTTATCCATCTCCTCAACTAGCCTGAGAATTCCTTGTGTGCAGGAATAAATTTTATTTTTTTCATATATCTAGCACAAAGATAATGCTTAACACATATGAGGTATCTGGTAAATATGCAAATATGAACAGACAATTGGCCATCAGTGAGTATCCAATCCAACCTTTGAGGACTGTGACTTGGTATAGGCAGCAAGAGTGTTCTCTCAGTTTACTATTGGCTGTGGGAATTGGACCAACTCTTATTTTCTTGTCTGTAAGGAAAGGTGGTTAGAAGAGGCACTTTCTAAGATCTCTTTTACCTTTAAATTTTGCGACTTGGATAATGATGAAAATATTAGGTGAAGTATTAGTTTTTACTTTTAAACTCTATTATTCCAAATTTTAAAGCAAGTTATCTATTAAGAAACCAAGGTCTTTAGGAGGCCTGGCTTGTATTTATTACCATAGTTATTTCACTTTATTACATATAGTCACTTTCTTATCTGTCCCCTTCCTCAGACAATGAGTTCCTTGACTCTGTATATACAGAGTCTAGGATCATGCCTAAAATAAAGGAGGTTTTCCAGTACATGTTTCACAAATGAACAAGCACACAGAAGGCAAGACAGATTTAAAAATCATTAGAGGCCGGGTATGGTGGCTCACGCCTGTAATTCCAGCACTTTGGGAGACTGAGGCGGGAAGATTGCTTGAGGTCAGGAGTTTGAGACCAACCTGGGCAACATGGCGAAATCCCGTCTCTACAAAAATTCAAAAATTAGCCGGGCATGGTGGAGCACACTTGTAGTCCCAGCTACTTGGGAGGCTAGGTAGGAGGATGACTTGAACCTGGGATGAGGAGGTTGCAGTGAGCCAAGATCATGCCAGTGCACTCCAGCCTGGGTGAGAGCCAGACCTCATATCAAAAGAGAAAAAAAGCAATACTATTGAAAATAGCATCCTACCCATGAAAAACACAGGGTTAAATTTCACAAAGATCTATTCACTTAAAATCACAAAACGTCACTGAGATAAATTAAAGGAACCTAAATAAATGGAGAAATATACCACAGTCATGGTTTGGGAGACTTAGTATTGTTAAGATAGTAATTTTCCTCCAACTGGTCTATAGAGTCGAAGAAATTACAGTCAATCTTCCAGCAGACTATTTTGTAAAAATTGACAAGCTGACTCTAAAATTTATGTGGAAATGCAAAGGGCCTAAAATTTCCAAAGCTACACTGAAAAAGAACAAAATTGGAGGACTTACTCAGTAACTGACTTCAAGATTTACAATAAAGCTACAGTAACTACACAGTATGAGGATACACACAGTGATCAATAAAACAGAATCGAGAAAAATGTCAAGATAATTTAATGCAGAAAGAATAATCTCAAAGATGGTTCTGGAACAACCAGATACTGGTAAAAAAAAACATGATCTTTGACAAAACTAACTCAAAATGGATCATGGACCTAAATGTAAAATAAAGTTATAAAACTTCTAGAAAAAATAAACAAATAAACAAAATATCTTTGATCCTGGGAAGGCAAAGATCTATTAGGACACAAAAACACTATTCATAAACATTTAAAAAATAAATTGGATTTCATAACAATTTAAAACTTCTGTTCTCCAAGAGACATTAATTGAGAAGACAATTCACAGACTGGAAAAAATACTTAAAATGCAAATATCTGACAGTACTTGAACCCAAAATACATAAAGAATTTTTACAATTTAAAAAGAAAAAAAAGCTAGTTTATAAAAATGGGGGCTGGGTGCAGTGGCTCATGCCTGTAATCCCAGCACTTTGGGAGGCCGAGGCAGGCAGATCACAAGGTCAAGAGATTGATGCCATCCTGGCCAACATGGTGAAACCCCGTCTCTACTAAAAATACAAAAATTAGCTGGGGGTGGTGGTGGGCACCTGTTGTCCCAGCTACTTGGGAGGCTGAGGCAGAAGAATCACTTGAACCCGGGAGGCGGAGCTTGCAGTGAACTGAGATCATGCCACTGCACTCCAGAATGGCAACAGAGCGAGACTCCATCTCAAAAAAAAAAAAGGAAAAAGGTTTGAATAGATAGTTCTCAATATAACATATACAATTGGACGATTAGAATATAAAAAGATGTACATCATTAGTCACTAAGACAATACAAATTAAAACACCACAGAGATAGTATATCATACTCACTAGAATGACCAAAATAAAAAAGACTGATAATACCAAGTCTTGGCAAGGATATGGAGCAAATGGAATTTTCATATATTGCCAGTAGAACCATAATAAGGTGCAATTAAATTGAAAAACAGTTTGGCAGTTTCCTATAAAGTAACACATATACTTACCATACAACACAGAAATTCCACTTCTAGTTATATAACCAAGAGAAATGAAGTCATATATCCATACAAAGACTTATTAACAGGTGTACATAGTCCTTTTATTCATAGTAGCCCCAAACTGGCAACAACCTTAATGTTCAACATTGGTAAACAGTATAAAATAGACTACTACTAATGATGTATGTAACAACATAGATGAATGTATTCATCAGAAGTAATTGGCAAATTAGTGCCCTCAAAAAATATTACACTGAATAAAAGAAGCTAGTTACAAAAGAGTACATATGGTATAATTTCTTTTATATAAAATTCCAGAGCAGACAAACTAATCTATAATTATAGAAAGTAGATCAGTGGTGGTCTGGAGGCCAGGGTAGGGGTCAGTATTAACTGTAATGGGTCAGAAAAGAATGTTCTAAAGTGATAGAAATGTTCAGTTTCTCTTTCTTGCCATAAGGGTAATGGGTACATAGGAGTATACATTTGTCAAGACTCATCAAACCATACACTTAAACTGGGTGCATTTAATTCCATGTAAACTATGTGTCAATACAGTGGATTAAAAATTATTTCACCCCTTTCATTTCCTTCGATGTGTCACTTAAAGCGTACTACAGCAGGGTCTTTCTGAATGGGGGAATATGAGCGTAAACAGATACTGCAGAAGATTGCCGAGGAAAGATTAGAATCAAGAGACATACTTTTTGAGAAACAAAAGCTTTGCCAATAAGTTTGTTTTTATAAACAATTAAATCATTTATTTTAATCTTCATGGGGAATTTATAAGTACTATAACCTTCACTTTTACAAATGAAGGAACAAAGATTAAGTGACTTAAGCTCATTCAGTTACTAAATATCAGAGCTGAAAATTGAACTACAGTATCAGTATCCTTATCTTCTAAGTAATATCTGCTGTTCCCTAGCATTAAAACTGTTTTTTCTTTCTTTCCTTCTTTCTTTCTTTCCTTCCTTCCTTTTTTTTTTTTTTTTTTTTGAGACAGGGTCTTGCTCTATCCCCTAGACTAGAGTGCAGTGGTGGCACAATCATAGCTCATTGCAACCTCGACCTCCTGGGGCTCAGGCAATCCTCCTGCCTTAGCCTCCTGTGTAGCTGGGACCACAGGTGTGCACCATCATGTGAGCTAATTGTTTAATTTTTTTGTAGTGACAGGGTCTCACTATACTGCCCAGGCTGGTCTTAAACTCCTGGGCTCAAGCAATACTCCTGCCTTGGCCTTCCAAAGTGCTGTTATTACAGATGTGAGCAACTGTGCCCGGCTCCTAGCACTAATACTTAAGAGTTCCTTGTACCCATTATATGATTGTTATCTGATTCAATATAGTCATAATTGCTAGCTCAAGAATATCTTCTCCTAAAGGTATATACACATCAGAATAGTTTTTAAAATATGTTATTAAAGGAGTTTACCTTATTTTTTTAGAACAAGGTGATAAACTATGGATCAAGGCCAATCTCTTGGCCTGAGCCTGTTTTTTTTGTTAGTTTGGTATTGTTTTTTGTTTTTCTTGAGACAGGGTCTCCCTCTGTTGCCCAGGCTGAAGTGCAGTGGCACAATCATGGTTCACTGCAGCCTCAACCTCCTGGGCCCACGTGATTCTCCCACCTCAGCCTCCCAAGTAGCTGGGATTATAGGCATACACTACCATGCCTGGCTAATTTTTTAATTTTTGTAGAGACGAGGTCTCCCTATGTTGCCTAGGCTTATCTTGAACTCCTGGGCTCAAGCTATCCTCCCACCTTGGCCTCCAAAAGTGTTGGGATTACATGTGTGAGCACTGTGCCCAGCTAAACCTGTTTTTTAAAATAAAATTTTACTGGAACAAATGAGTCATATTCATTTATTTACATATTATATGTGGCAGCTTCCAAGCTACAGCAGCAGAGTTGAAGAGCTGCAACAGAGACTCCTGTCCCACAAAGCCTAAAATATTTACCATCTGGCCCTTTACAGAAAAAGTTTTCTGATCCCCGTTCTACATCTTTTTTTTATGGGGGGAAAGGGTCTCACTCTGTCACCCAAGCTAGAGTGTAGTGGTGCCATCTCAGCTCACTGCAGCCTCTGCCTCCTGGGTTCAAGCGATTCTCCCACCTCAGCCTCTCAAGTAGCTGGGACTACAGACACACATCACCACACCTGGTTAATTTTTTGTATTTTTACTAGAGACAGGTTTTCACCATGTTGGCCAGGTTGCTGTTCTATATCTTCGTACCTAACTTCGAAATAGGGCTTGATGCCATATGGGTCATAGCAGCTAGATGGGCATTCTTACTTTTATTGTTTCTGGATAAAGATCAGTCTTAGTAAAGGTAAGAGCCAATAGTGATATAGTTGGTTATAGCTAACTAAAAATAAAAGAAAAAAAACCTTTCAATTACTTTAGTGTGTACCATTAACTTTGAGAGAGGTATCAGGAAGTAGAAGTCACATATGAACTGCTTTAAATTGTGGCTCCACCACTTAAAAGTGTCTCAGGATCCTTAGGGTGTTGCTTTTCTAGCTGGAAACCTCTGTGGCTGGTGGCACCTTTGCTAGAGTTTTGTTCTGGCCCACTGGGCTCATTCTGCCCACTCGGTCTGGCAGGCTGCACTTGGCTCATGCTAACAGCCTGGATCCCATGCCTGCTAAGGGGAAGCCAGGCATGGAGCAGTGAGAGGTGTGTGAATGGGCAAGCTTGGGGTCTGATCACTGTGCACAGCCAGGCACACTGGCTGTTGTAGCAGGGCGGGCAGCTTCAGAAGCCAGCAAAGGCACTGTCTCCATGTAAGCCTGTCGTTTGATCAGATACACCATAAGCATCTTCCACTGTGGGCACCCACATCTGGACAAGGGGAATGCTTGGTGCCTGGAAACTTGGAGATGCCAGAAACCACCAAGCCCCAAAAAGGGTGTCACAGCCCTGGCTCACAGAGCCCCTAGGTCTGGGCTCTCCGAAGCGCCACGGCTCTTCTCTCCTTCTCATCGCCTGCAACGTGGCAAGTGTGGGAGAGGGATATGTTTCAGCCCTGTTTGTGTTACATCTCTTTCAGTGCACCATTTGGCAGGTCCTAAGTTCTTGTCCTGCATCCAGGAATAATGAGGTATGTGGACAACTGAAGGATAAGCAAGGTGGAGAGGGGCTTTATTGAGTGACAGAACAGTTCTTGGGAGACCCAAAGTGGGTAGCTCCTATCTGCAGGCAGGTCATCCCAACGAATGTCCAGCTGTCAGTGGAGAGGAGACCCAGAGTGGGTAGCTCCTATCCACAGGTGGATTCTCCAGTCATCTGGTGCAAGTCTGGCTGGGTCTGGGGTTTTTATGAGCTTAGAAGGGAGGAAGTGAGTTCTGACTGATCCATAGACGGCCATGGGAGGGCTTGGAAAAAGCACTATAAGTTATCACTGTGGGCCACAGACTACACCTGTAACTGACAGCCTGGCTTCCAGGCTTCAGGCCGTCCCCGGCTTGAAGGCATAGCTTCACTGGGGACTGCCCCTTGCTGCCCAGGAGCCTGTCTGCCTCCTGCTGCCATCAATGTATGGCCCAATTGCCCAGGCTGTTCTTGCAGAGGGATGCCTGCAGGCCCATGCCAAGCTGCCCTCGTTCCCCACCTCGGCCTCCCTCCAATGCTTGTTGGTGCCCAAAGTCCAGAGGGGGCTGAGGTGGCAGGGGGCTGGCATGTCAGCACCACCCCAAGCACATGCACACCTTGCCAGGTTATGACAGCACCTGGCCTCGGTCACAGCTTTGCTCTGTCCTGGAGTGGGTGCTGGGAGCGCAGAGAGGCCAGGCAGTGGGAGCAGGCACTTTCAAGCCTGCAGGGGCAAGGGGCTTCCTGGAACTCCAAGAGCACAGGGATGCCCAGGTCCAGAGCTGTGGCTGGGCAGCTGCAGCTGTGCCCAGGAGTGTGGGGCTCCTGCTCCACCGACTCAGTAGGGGACGGGGTTCCCACCTGTTTTCTGCCCCCGCCAGCTCTGCCTCCCCTGCTGCAGCCAGCATCTTTGCAGTGGCTGCTCTAACTGGGCTGCTGCTGCCCTCAAAAGCCTTGTTACTAGGGCCTGACTCAGGCATGTGGGTCCCTACATAAGCTAGTAATTTTTTCCCCCTCCAAACACATATTCTTAACATATTTGTCCAACGTTTAAAGAAGGCTGATGCTGCAGGATAATGGGTGAAGGCGGCTTTCCTCTCATGTTCCCAGTGACTTAGCTAGAGCCCAAACCTGCATACCCTAACTTACTCAAATAGAAGACCTATAGCTAACCTCACCCACCCTCCTTAGAAGGCACATTATTTGATCATGCAGTACAGGAAGGGTCCCACTTCCACACTTCTTCCACATACCCAGGCAGCCTATCAAAGTGTTCTCCCAACCTCTCCTTGAGAGGAATTATGATCATTGTAATTTTTTCCATCATGATATATTTCCAGGGATATTTCAGTGTTCCTTAGAGACTGTTTACCTGGACAGTGGCCTGGCTGGTATGCTTTTAAATAAAGCTCTGTTTTTGTCCATAGACAAGTTACTACATTTCTCTGTGCTTTACTTCCTTGTCTATAAAATGGGGACAATACCCATTTATCTTGCATAGTTGTTGAGAATTAGAGATGGCATTATACAGTGCCTAGCACAGTACAAAGTAGATAAATATTGGCATTTATTAATGTTACTATCATAATCATTTTTATCTTACAAGATTGATTTTTTCCCTGACATTCAGAAAATGCAAATTAACTTGATAATAAAGTAAACAGAATATAATACAGTAAGAGAACTTTGGATTGGGAATGGCCTGTAAACTGTTTCCATATTTGTAAATAATCAATCAAAATAAGTATATTCTTGAGAGCATTTAGTCTACCTTAGAATAAGAAAACAAGTGTCTATTTAAAAGATAACTTCAAACAAAAAGGAGATTAAGTTGACACGATCACTATACAACTAGAAGTGTACCTCACTTTTCTGGTAAGCTTCTTGTTAAACTATATTGTAGAATACAGAAACTTTATCTGAAAACTTTTATGGCATAATATGAAAATCTTTATCTAAATTTGTACACATTATTCACTTGGGAAAGGCAAATTATGCAATTTAAGCTATTTAGATTCTATCTAAATTGGCTACAGGGTTTTGAGATCACAAAAGTTAATAAACAACATTATTATAACTTCCCAGAAATTATACTCTATTTAAAATTTATAATCTTCTACACTATTATAATATTCTAGTAACATAAATGTATCAGTTATATTAATTCACTATGAGGTAAATATAAATTTTTAAATATATCAAACAATGAAATTTTAAAAGTACTTACATGCAGTACACAAATATGCAACAGCTGTATATCATTGGGAGTTCATCCAGTAGCTGTAAGAAACAAAGAAAGATAACAGGCTTGAATATCATGGAGCAGCAATTATTATGCAAATCAAAATAAGATATCAAAATGATTAAGATTTTCAGCTCTTAGATTAGGTACAGAGGCTCACACCTGTAATCCCAGCACTCTGGGAGGCCAAGGTTGGAAGATCGCTTGAACTTGGGAGTTTGAGATCAGCCAGAGTAACACAGTAATACCCTGTCTCTACAAAAACTTAAAAAAAAAAAAATCAGCAGGGCATGGTAGTGGCATGTGCCTGTAGTTCCAGCTACTTGGGAGGCTAAGGCGAAAGATCGCTTGAGCCTGAGAGATCGAGGCTGCAGTGAGCCATGATTGCACCACTGTACTCCAGCCGGGCAACACAGCAAGATCCTGTCTCAAAAAAAAAAAAAAAAAAAAAAAAGGTTTCAGCTCTTATTTCATTTCTTTTACTAATTCTTTTTATGTATTTATCATCAAATTTACTCTGAGTATGTGTGTGTAGTTTACTGTTTTTGAACAAACAAGGTTATTATCCAAGTGTCCTAGTGTACATACCTAAGCAGGGTACCTGACTCACTATTCCTGGAGGGCAGACTTGTCATTGCGCTGCTTATATCATCTGGTATTACAAACTATGATATTGCACCTCCAGAAAAAAATGATGTCCATCATCTGTAGGTCCATAGGTCCTATCAGTATTCTTTTGCATTTCCATCCTTCCTATATCACCTTAAATGGATAAAGTGACTACTAACATACATAAGAAGAGGTATTAATGGCCAGGGAAATAATTTTATTAATCCAAGTAAAGTATATCTTTGAGAAATAACATTTACTATTATTATTAGCAGTGATAATAATAGTAGTAATAATAATTACAGCCATTATGTGTTAAACTGCAAACTAGACACTAAGCTAGGTGTTGTAGATACCAATCTTATGGAGTTTATTTATCACTAGATATACATTTAATTAATTCTTTAATTAATAAAATGTCCACTATGTGCCAAGTAATGTGTTAAGAGCTGAAGATACAATTATAAGACACAGTTACTGCCTTCAAGGAGTTCACATTCTAATTAGAGGTTAAGGGAATGAAAGCATAGAGTAAGGATTCCAACAAAAGGAGCACACAAAAGCCAAAGAAAGTGATGGCAGGAATGAAATGAAATGGGGTGGTGAAGAAAGGCATTCTAGGAAGTGGGAAGAGAGCTTATGTAAAGTGAATGATGTATTCTGGTAAATTATCAGAATTATGAAAATAATAGCATTTGTGCAAGTTAACTATTTTTAGTCATTAATTTTTTATTTATTTATTTTTGAGACAGAGTCTTGCTCTGTCACCCAGGCTGGAGTGCAATGGCATGACCTCAGCTTGAATGAGGTCTGTGGATTACATGTAGTAATAAATCAATGTTAATTATTGATTTTGTTGGTAGTATTGTGGTTATGTAGGTGAGTTTTTTTTTTTTAAGATATAACTTACATACCATAAAATTCACCCCTTTTTTTTTCACCCCTTCATACAACAGTAAAAATTTATATCCCTTCTCTCCTTCACTAATTAAGTTTCAACAATGTTCGGCTTTCAGTTCTTCACATTTCTTTCCTACCACAAGACCTTTGCATATGCTGTTTCTTCTACTTAAGCTTCTCCTCTTCCCCCAGTCCCCCTTTACCTTAATCACTTCTGGATATTTTTCAGGTTTCATTGTATGTGCCACTCCTTCACCCTAAGGATCCTGAGATACTTTTAAGTGGTGGAGCCACAATTTAAAGCAGTTCATATCTGACTTCTACTTCCTGATACCTCTCTCAAAGTTAATGGTACACACTAAAGTAATTGAAAGATTTTTTTCTTTTTAGTAAGCTATAACCAACTATATCACTGATAGCTCTTACTTTTACTAAGACTGATCTTTATCCAGAAACAATAAAAGTAAGAATGCCACCTAGCTGCTATGACCCATATGGTGTCAAGCCCTATTTCAAAGTTAAGTAAGAAGATGTAGAACAGCAGCCTGGCCAACATGGTGAAAACCTGTTCCATCTACCTTTTTGCAGAAATTGACAAGCTGATCCTAAAATTCATATGAAAATGCAAGGGACCCAGAGTAGCTAAAACAATCTCAATAAAGAACAACAAACTTGGAATACTCACACTCTCCAATTTCAAAACTTACTACAAATCTGCAGTAATCAAGGCTATGTGGTATTAGCATAAGAATAGATATATAAGTCAATAGAATAGAATTGAGAGCTGATAAACTCACACATTTATGACCAGTTGATTTTCAGTCAGAGTGTTAAGACAACTTAATAAGGAAAGAACAGTCTTTTCAACAAATGGTTTTGGGACAATTAGATAGCCAAGTACTAAAGAATGAAGCCAGACCCCTACCTCACACCACATAAATAATTAACTCAAAATTGACCAAGACCTAAATGTAAGACCTATACTCTTAGACAAAAACACAGATAGAAATCTTCATGACCTTGGATTAGGCAATAGTTTTTTAGCTATGATACCAAAAACATAAGCAACAAAAGGAAAAAAAAAAACACACACACACACAGATAAAATGCACTTCGGTAGAACTGAAAACTTTTTTTTTGCATCAAAGGACACTACTAAGAAAGTGAAAAGATGCGACAGGCCATCCATGCTCTAAGCCTGGCAAGGGTCTGCTTGCCTGTGTCCCACATGGTAGAACTCGGCATCTGTAGGGGGCCTGCTAGGGGCAGGAAGGGAGTAGCACCCAACCCTGAGCTGGGTGCTCATGCTTCCCTGGAGCTGGGTGGAGGAGCTGAGGGTGTGGACAGGCATGAGGTATGGACATGTCCGTCCCTTTGAGGACCAAGATCATGACCACCACAGAGCGAGCACCTCCGGGGTTCTCAGATAAAAAGTCTGACAGCCACTGAGGCTCACCAGGCTACTGCAGCAGTCCCAGCAGAAGCAGGGCCAGGCTGAAGCAGTGACACCACAGACTTCGGGCATAGGGGGTATCTCAAGGCTGCTGTAACAAGTCACCATAAATGCAGTGATACAAAATGGCACAAGCTGATGACAGTTGTGGAGGTCAGAAGTCCAGAATGGCTCTCACCAGGCTGAAATCAAGGGGCCAACTTCAGGGGAATCTGTTTCCTGCCTTTCCTGGTTTGAGAGGCCCCATCATGGCTGTCACCTGTGGAGCTGCTGTGCTCCACAGGCCTGGCCTCACTTATGGGGCTTCAAGAACAGTGCCTAGATCGTCTGAGAGCCTGTGGCATCACTGTCATGACAAAGGAACATTTGGGATGCACTGGAAGCCCAGAAGTCCAGAGATGGGGATAGGAACCATCAGTTACTATGGGGCACCTTGGGGGTCCCACACACACCACTGTGGGTGTCAGACCCTCAGATTGTTGCCACTTTGGGAAGGGGTCAGCAGTTTGCAAAGGACTCTGGACAGCAGTAGGGAGCAGCAATGACACAAGGGTTCCCCCCCAACCCCTGACACTGTTCAGACCTTCACCCCCTGGCACATGGAGGAGGTGTCGTGCCCCTGCTTCAGGAAGCCTCGAGGGAGACACACGCACCCTCAGAATTCCCAGTTGGGGGCTCCTCACTGGAGGGCACTGGCAGAAACTGGTGTCAGAAAACAGCAGCACAGAGCGGATCTGGAACAGATCAGGGTATCACAGAAAAGATGCTTCATAAGATGTGTTTTGATGAGGATATTTAAATAAGTGTAATTTAATTGATGTTAAAAAAAAAAAGAAAGTGAAAAGAAAAGTCACAGAAGAAAATATTTGCAAATCATATCTGTATCCAGAGGCTAGTATCTAGAATATAGAATACAGAAAGAAGTCTTACAACTCAATAAGAAAAATACAACTACAGCTATTTTAAAAATAGGTAAAGGATATCAATAGACATTTCTACTATGAAGATATACAAATGGTGTCAATAAGCACATGAAAAGATGTTTAACATTAGTCATTAAGGAAATGCAAATCAAAGTCACAATGGGAGAAACTACTTCATACCCACAAGATGGCTATACTAAAAAGATAAACAGTAACAAGTATTGGCAATGATATGGAGAAGTCGCTGGTGGGGATGTAAATGGTGCAGCCACTTTGAAAAACAGCCTGGCAGCTCCTCAAAAGGTTAAATGACCCAGCAATTCCACTCCTAAGTATTGGTCTAAGAAAACTGAAAACATACATCCACAATGAGGGAAACTAAAAAAATTTCACCCCCAAATATATTTCTTTCATATATTTTGGGACAGCGATTCAGAGGGACTAGAAACCAAAGAAGAGCTAAAAAGCTGTCTTTTCTAGAGGAGATGTGCATCTGTAGAGGAAATAAAGTCAAGTAAATAACAGATGCAAACAGGCTTTCTTTGAACCACCCTTCACCCCTTCATCTGGATCTAGGAAAGATTAACTGAGAATCTGACACCTTTAAAGGTCTGACAGAAATATTTACCAAAGGCTACCATCTGTTCTTTCTGAGAGCTGCTACCCATGAAGTTTCATCCATATAACAAGGCTGCCTTTGCTAGCCAGGCCTTTCCTCTTCTCTCCCTCTTATAACCTGTCTTGCTACCATAACCTGTTTTGCCAAGCTCCAAGCCCCTATTCTTTGTGTGACCTCAAGATGGTATAAAAGTATCAATCTTCTGATCATTTGAGTTTTTCATATTTTGTATGCCATGCCCATACACATGTTAATAAGACCTGTATGCCCTTTTTCTTGTTAATAAATCTATCATCGGTTTTTTTTTTTTTTTTTTTTTTTTTTAGATGGAGTCTTGCTGTATCACCAGGAGGAGTGCAGTGGTGCAATCTTGGCTCACTGCAATCTCTGCCTCCTGGGTTCAAGTGATTCTCCTGCCTCAGCCTCCCCAGTAGCTGGGACTGCGGGCGCATGCCACCACACCCAGCTAATGTTTATATTTTTAGTAGGGACAGGGTTCCACCATGTTGGCCAGGATGGTCTTGATCTCTTGAC